ATTTTGCAGCATTGGTAGTAATTAGATACTGTGCTATTTCAAATGCAGTAAGAAAATCGTTTGATTTTTTTTATAAGGAATAGTGTATTAGTGTAATACTTTGGTAATAAAAAATCTCAGAAATACAATTAAGATTTTCTACATTCTGATTACTTAGAAGAATGTTGATTTTACTATATTCTAAGTTACGCACTTTATAATCCATACTGTGCTATGGTTTGCTGAAAAGCATGGCAAATGCAGGGGGTTCAGTAATTAGTAATTAACTATAGTGGTTCAATTTCTTTTTTTTAAATTCATGCTAAATGAGGTAGATTTTTCTACTATCAAATTTCAAAGAACATCAAAATTATAGAAAAATATAATAATCTTTGTGAACAAAACAGTGTTCTATATCACCAAATATTAGTTTCCTGAACCAGTGTACTAAATTCACATTGTGTGAATATTTTTGTAAATGATTAACTCTGTTACTTATAAAGCCAGTCTTAAAATGCTTTAATTACAAGCGAAAAGGAAAAAATCATTATAGGGGAGTTACACAAAGGCCTTTTCATCATTTAAAATCTCAGGAGATTGTTTTCAAAGTCCTTAATATCTAGGCTCCAGTTCATAACTCTCTTACTCCTTGCATGTCTGCCACTGGGTTACATGCTACTTGCAAAGTTATGACTCAGTTCTCAGATAATGGAAATTCTTCTTCTGCCTAATCCAAGAAGGCCCTTAATTTCTTAAAAAAATAGAAATAGTTATACTTTATAGGGTCATAGTGAATATTAAAGGAAATTATACAGATTGAGAGAGTTTGTCATTTTTCCACTCTTTTGCTTCTAAAAGACTGCAAACACCTATATTCAGAGAGAAGAGATGGATTATGAAATAAATAATGTTTGATCAATATCCTAATCAATTAAAGATTTAAAGAATGATGCGGTACCAAAACTTCCAGATGGGTTAAAAATTTCAATACAGTTTATAAAGTACTAGAAGAAAAAACCTAAGACTGTGGCAATATTATAATTATAGAGGGAAAAGAAGAAATATTCAATTAACTAGATAAAAACACAGAATGTTTATAAAAAAATAAAAGTTTTTTTTTAAGTTACCTATGAGAGGGAAAGTTATACATAACACATTTAAGAGACAAAAATTCAATGCATTTAATTTGTGAGGAGCTCTTTCAAATCCAGAGAGAAAAGACCAACTCCCATATTGCAAATGAAAAAACTCACCACTAAGTAATTTACAGGAGAAGAAATAAAAATCATTAGGGGATATATAATCAAGAGTTTGATATATATATGTCAATCCAAAATATTCATTTAAAAGACATGTTTTCCATTTTTCAGTTCACTGAAATTTAAAACCATAGACAATATCTAGTGTTGTAAAGAGGGGTGGAAATATCCCTGGCCAAACATTGTCTAGGACAATGTACACTGGTCTAGTATTTATATAAGACAATATGGCAATACATACCAAAATTTATTAGGTAACCTCATTTAGACAACTTCTAATTCTTTAGCCTAATAAATGATTACACAGTATAAAATGTTTTATAAATTAGGATTCAAATTATTGAAGTACTAATAACATGAAAAACAGATATTAACGTATCATTAATATGGCCCTTAATAAATAAATATTATATGCTGTGTATAAAAAGTTAATAGAAGAGCTGTCCATACACCCACAAGGAAGATGCTCATTATATATTAAGTAGAAGACACAGATGACTGAACAGTACATAACTATATATATATTATCCCATATATACAAGCATATGTTTGATTATATCTATACCTCACTTAGTTTTATATGTTTTATTGCTTTGATTTCTAACAATGATAATGGTTCTATTATACATAGAAAAAGAAATTTATTTTCATTTTGAAAAGTTAATTATGAATTTAGTTTCTTATGTTGGGTTCAAGTGTGTATATACAAACATTTCTAAGAGATATAGGCATTCAAATGTAGCAGACTCTGGAGTGTTAGTGAAATACTCACCTCTTCACTGCTTAGACTTTGTTGTTAAAAGTTAATGCTTAAATATTTCAAGAAACTTCAAACACTACTCTAAAGTGTTACACACCTGCTCTAAAACCCCTTCCGCCAGCACTGTCATTTTGTCAGGGCCATAGCCATACCGCTGAAGGAAGCAGAAAATGTTCTCGCTTTTCATGTCCTGAAGTTTCGCTCAATCTCAATCTCTTCAAACCATAAAGGCTGCTGTGAAGTTTTTTTACTTAAAACACATAGGCCACTGCCACACTTTATAGGTGAGGTAAAGTTTTTCTTTTATTTTCCTTGTGGTTTTAAACCATGTTGAACTCTAAAACAGACTGAACTTTAAAACAAGGCTGTCTTTTCTTTTAACGTACAAGCTACAAGGTACGTTCATATTATATACCAAGATTTAATTAGTACTTATGGAGATTCCATGTGTTTGTGCATGCATAAATGCATGTGTATGTGATCTAGGGTTATGCACATGTATGTGTTGTATGTGCATTTGTATACACACCTATGCTGTATGTATATGCATGTCTTGTAGCAACTGTGTGTGTACTCATATGTATCTTGTATGTGCATGGGATATTAATAGAGAATACCTAAAAACACAATATTTACAGTACATTTAAAATAAAGCCAATGTTTAAGTTTTCCCATTTGTATACAACACTATGGCTGATGAAAGAGCTTTAATCACAGGCGGGCAACCATGGCAGACTCAATGTGAACATGAGCGGGACCACCTAGAAGGTCAGATTTCTGGGGTAACTGCATTTCTGAAAACGCAGGGTCCAATGTACTGTGAGACTGAAATCCAAAATTTGATAAATGGATTTCATGCAAAAACTCTTTATTCTAAGATGTGAAAAATGAAAAATGATATGCTCGCTGTTACACTACAACACCACCAAACTGTGCTTCTCCTAACTGCTTCATTTCTTCCTGCAACTGCAAAGTCCACTCTAATTGTCCAGAACAAGGAAATGTGTTCACAGCCAGAAATATGGCAAGGCTCTGTCCGAGTGGAACTGCACTGAAAGTGGAAGAGCAGGTTAAATTTTTAGTTTATCGTTCATATTATATAACCTTACATGTTCTTTTGGTGGTTTGAAAAGTTTAGAAGTCTTTGAAATGTATGTAATAATTATATGAAGTTATCTTGCAATTTTACATTTATTTCTATCTGAAATTTCTCCTTCCCATTTCCTTTTTATTGAGGTTTATGAAAGATAAAAGAAGTAAGTGTTCATAGAATTTGTACAATGATGAAATGGGTCAAGGAGAAATGCTCTCTGATTTGTTTTTTATTTAGTTTTTTTTTTGTCTTCATAGTTAAATATTTTCTTTGAAAGGTTGTAATTTTGTTTTGTTGTTTTGAGAAAAGTAGAAATAAAGTATAACCCTGACTTAGGGAGATATTTATAAGTTAGTGTTGAAAATTATCCTTTTTCATTTCTGTGAATAATCTACCCTATCTGAGGCATGTACAAACACATACATAGTGCTGTGGAGTATAAAGGTCAGAATCAGAAAAAAGAAAAGGAAAGCAACTTTCTGTCAAGAATCAGAAATGTGCAAAACCAAGGATATAATCCAGGCTACATTATAAGACACATCTCATTCAATGTGAGGTATAGTCTGACGTGCATAGTCTGACATGTGATGAAATTCTCTATTTCTCGAGTCTATGTGGGGCTGAAGAATGTGTAAGAACCTAAATTTCCTCAGTATAGGAACCTCATGTTGCAACAGATCTCTTTTCTCTGAAAAATATTTTTCCAGATCCAAAACAGCTAAAATGAATTCCTTACACATTATATTTTATGAAAATTGCTAACCTAAGTTACCTTAAACCCCTTATAAAACAAGGTATTAAAAATAAATTTAGTTGCTGACTACTCAATGTAATAAGCTTAAATCATGTTGATATCTTAAGAGTTTATATATTTTTTAAATGGCAGAAGAGGGTATAGAGAGGATAAGTGGTGATGGGAATTCTTTTTTAAAAAAGGGAGAAAAGCTTAAAATGTCCTGTACTATTATTTATTCATATACACACAGAGAAAATAAATTTCATTATACATGTTTATACCCCAGTGATTGTTCTAATGATAAGATTAAAGAAATCAGAAGACACTCTGATAGCAAAATAATTTTTAGAGGTGTGACTTTTAAATAGGGCTCACTCAGCATTACCGCAACTAGAATGTGTATTTATAGACAGATCATCTAAATCCTGTCTTTTACTTGATATTTATCATAAGCCAGTCAGACATTTAAATGCATAGTAGGGGTGCTCTATAATGTAAAAGAGAGAAATACTCAGTAGAAAAACAGGGAAGAATTAAGTGTTCATCATTGGCATATCAAGCATAAGATAGGAATGGTCACATTCTATACCCATTAAAACATTATTAGCATCTGCACAACAAAGAAGTGATGAAGAGGATCAATAAGTAGCAGAGTGTGAGAAAGAGTTAGTGAAACACCTACAGAAATGCATTTATGAAATGAACTTTCTTCTTGAACAGCATTTTACACTTTTCAGAAGAAAGCATCTTCATTATTTCCACTACTCTCAAATGGCAAATAACAAATGACAAGTATTCTCTGTTATCAAATTTATGGAAAGCAAACAGAAAATTCACTGGGATGAATTCTGCAAACTTATTGGATCCAAAGCATTACCCAGATGCTTATTAAACAGCTAGGTTCCCAGGTTCTGCTTACCCCTATTGAATCTTATTCTCCAGAGAGGGTACTTATAATTAGGCAAGATTTGCAAATACAGACTATATTATAAAAGCATACAATATGTTATAAAAAGTCATCTATTCTAATTATTTTGTACCAATAGTTCTTCAGGGTTGAGGAAAAGAAGGCAACAGTTCTGACCCATTGCTATTTTTAACTGTTTGGTCTAAAAAATAATGGGAGAAAATGTTTAAAGCTTCTATGTTTTCATGTCAGAGCAATGTACTTACTACAGTTTTCAGCTTTCCTATTGTCCCGGATCACTATTCTTTGGTTGATAGTGCTGAAGAGCGTCGTCCAGTTGATGGTATGATAGTAACACAGGTTGCTGTTGTCGGTAATGTAGATGTTTCCTGCACTGATTTCCTTCAGGGACTGGAACTGCAGTGAGGTGATGCCTTGCTGCTTGAGGATAAGTAAGGAGAGGCCACTAAAGAGAAAGCAGAGTAGACACTGAATAATAATAAATAATTTCTGGCCAGGACATTTGTTCTTGAAATAAAATGATGTCACATCTTACTCCAAAAAAAGGTAAACAGGGCACAAAGAGAGATTGAGTCAATAAATTTGTGCTCAGAATATTAATTCTTTACATACTATACACTGGTAGTTTTAAAAGTAACACCCCAAAGAAGAATGCTCATTTTTAGAAGTATGAATACTAATGATATCTCTGTTCTACATATTTACCACTAACATAAATACTAACTCTCCCTCCACCCCTAAAATCTTAAATTCCTCAAGGATGAAATCTTGTGTTAAGACTAATTAAATAAGTGTGTATGGAATGGCTTTTTGTCTATCCAAATTAAGATATTAATTGTACTCTATTTCATAAATTCGAATGGTTTCCAAAGGTAAATATCATAGAGATATCATTGATATTTAGCTTTAATTTATTCATAGACAAAAATATAATAGTAATAGTTGAAGAATGTATAAAGTTAGGGTATATTAAAAATTAAAGAGAAGAATGAAATTAAATGTAAATTAATAGAAGGCTTGGGTGACTGGGGAAAGGATCTAAAAGTTAAACAACTACACTGTGGAAACAAATTATCATTTCAAGGAAATTGTTCTTATTTCAACATAGTCCACATTTTTGTAGTTGAATTCCTTTTCCATTCTCTGAAGATTAAATGTGTTTCCAACATCTCAATCAACTAATGAAGGTGATTTGGAGATCTAGGCTGTCCCCTTTTATTTTATTTATAAATCTAAATATATATCGCTATTTTATACACTTATACACACATACACAATAAAGGTCGGTCTGGAATAAGTCCAGCCATTGTTAATATAATGAAAAAGGTTTGAGCAACATTGATGTAACCTGGCAGCCAAGGAGAGTGGACTGGGATATGCATCTGTGAACAATGATGACTTCATTGTTGCTAGTCAGTGGGGGTTGTAGATGCTATTGAGTGAGCATGTGTACTGTGTGGTTGTCAGATTCAAAATGATTGAGTGAGTAGAACAACAAATCTGCATCAAATTTTGCATTAAGCTTGAACATTCCTCTGCAAAAACTATTCAGATGATTCAGAAGGCCACAGCTATGAGCAACTGGTGGTTGGCATCTTCATCACGATAACAGTAGCTCTATTTTTATCATATAAGTAAAAATATTGACATCAGACAATTATAACTGTACTTCTGAGCCCTGACTTTTCAGCTGATTATAACTAGTGCTGCATGTAGGGTCATGGGCCAATTCCTGAAACATGAGCTCAGTGATGCTTGGTTCCAATGACAGCACCAGAAAAGAAATAAGAACTTCCTGGTACGGCATTTGTATCCCATGCATCTGGGCCATTTCTAAGTCATCCAACTCTATGTTTTAATTATAATAACATAGGAGCAAAAATAAGGTTTAATGTTATGGTTCACATCATGTGCTTCATACCTACAAAACATTAATGTTACTGTAATAATAGGTAGCTGAAAAATTCAAAGGTGCATTCTCTGTACTTTAAGCACAACTGGGGTATTTTTTGTTGAGCTTACATTTGGAATTAAAAGTAGAAACCCAATATTTCTAGAATCAGTGAATTAATGAGGCTCATGGTTTTGATATAACATATGCATGATGCTACTCTTGAAATCTGAGAGACCTCGTCTTTGACCTTAGAAGCCTACCTGTAGAGGACTCTTCCACCAATGGTCACCAGGTTAGAGAAAACACTGAAGTCCGTCATGTTTGGGGGCCATGATTGTATGTTCAAGAAACCTACAAAAGAAGAGGAAAATTCAGAATATCATCGTCTTAGTAATAGTGTTTAATACTAAGTATTCTAGAAACGTGACAGAAATGCATTAAAATATAAAAAAAGAAGGGCAATGAATATTTCTACTTCTGAACCATTCTATCTCCTACTTCTTCAAATATTGAGTATGTTATCCACAGTTTCAGGGCTACAGTACTCCAGAGATAAAGAATATTAAAAAAATGAGCATGAAGAATTTATGTTTCTCAGAAATATGCAATTATATAATTATATATGTTAAACTATTTAAATCTTAATTTAATTTATCCTTTCAAAAGCAAAAATACTTAGTTTAACTAGATAAAGAGAAAAATACAATTTCAATTTGTCTGAAATCCTTTACCGCTTTTTATGCTTATGACATCAGTTTTCTATCTTGCATTCTAAGGCATATATGTGTGTATACATATATGTACACATATAACATGTATGTATAGAATATATGTAATATATATATGCCTTAGAACTCTCCTCATTTGATTTTACATTCTTTAATAGCAAATCCATGTTTAAGTTATTTCTATGAGCCCGTATCACCTACTATATCAGGTGTTCTATAAATGTGTCAAATAAATATGACATGTTATCCACACTCAATAGTACTTCTTGTGAAAAAGGAAAAAGAAAAACATAGGTTCAAAGGTCAGTTGACAATTGCAAAAATAGTAACATCAAAATTTCAAGGATACTTTACCTTTTAAATTCTGTGGGCTTTCAAAACATACACAAATGTTAAGAAGTAATGACTGGAATTTATTTTTAAAAAAGTTTCTGGTTCCATTATTGTGTAATATTTTCAAGAAAGCAAAAATAATATGTAGTTAATAGTACAACAATTATACTTAAGAAAATTACCTGTTATCTCCCGCACTGTCCGAAAGACATTCAGTTTCTCTGGGTCTATGGCTTCAATTGCATTGTAAGGGTCCCTAGAAAACCAAGGAGAGAAATGGTCAGATTTAAAACTAAATGAAGCAATACAAACAGTAAAAATGTGACAGTATTTTATTTGAATGGAATTTTAATTGTCAATAGGATGTTTAGCGATGGCTGTCCAAATTTTTCTGGCCTAGACTGGAGGGTAGTCACAAGATGCTTTGAGGACTATTTAGATGACACAGTGTATCAGTTCTTCATCAAAGGTTGTCCTAGATTTACAGAAATAATTCAGTTTGACTATTCTAGAGACACCTCCAAATAGAGCAAATCCATTTATGAACCATTTTATTTTATTTTGCTTTACGTGTTTGTTTTTAGTTGGGAAAATATGCTCTGCACATAAATTAAGTTAGTGAGGACGTGTCTTCTAGGTTTTTTAAAGCACTCTAGCTCACAAAAAGCACCTGACATTTCTTAAGAGGGATCGAGGCAAACACACGAAGTTGCCTTTTTTGCTGTATCTTCACATGTATCTATTAGTGAATTTTCATAATATTTATAACATTGTTTAAAAGTTACTCTTTTTATGAGTTATTTAACATAAACTTGTTCCCTCTGGCTTATTTATATTTACTATTATAACAGATCTATTTGCTTACATCTATATAAATCACACCAACATTTAAAGACAAAATTTATGACAAATTTAATAATATTCAAAAGGTGGTGTAAATTTGAAGATTTAAAAAATGCCATCTTCTAATGCATACACATATTTTTATAATGATTTTGATATACATATATTCATATACACATATATACACAGAGAGATGTCCTGCTTTCCAAAACCAAACATAAAATATCTTTGAAAATTAAATGTTTAATATATTTTTCAGAGATCTTCATCTTAAGAACATTTTTTCGTGTATTATATACTGACCATATGGAATAATTACACACTTAAATATTAACCCAAACATAAACATAGTTTATGCCATAACACCTAATATTTCTCAATAATTTAAGCAATAGTTTCAGTTCTTAAGAAATACATAGTATTTTTAAATGCCTTATTACATTAAACAGCATTCTGTGCAATACTGAGCAAACAGAAACCTCGTATTAATATGTACCCTTCAGAAAACACTGAAGTCTATTCAATGACCACTTCTAAAGAGATCAAGCCTTTTAAGAACAATGAACTTAGGCTTTTTAAGAAGCATGTAACCATCTGTAGCAATCAACTGAGTTTTATTCTTGCTGTGGATATCTGTCATTTTGTAATCCACTATATATATAAACATATAAAAATATATTTATGTATTTGTGTGCATATACAATGTAAGATACACTGTACATATGTACACACCGAGAATATATATACACACATGTGTACATATACACATACATGTATAGCTACATATATGTACATATATGCATATGTTTATATATCAAATCTTTGTGTTTTTACTTTTTAAATATACTGGGGTGCCATTGGTGAATAAAATTATATAGTCTCAAGAGTACAGTGTTATGATATATCATAAATCTGTCACCATATATTTGACCCCCATTACCTTTTACGATCCCCCACCCTCCCCTCAGGTAACCATCACACTGGCGTCTGTGTCTGTGTTAGGACGTCTGCTGTTTTACCAATCTTTAGGAACCTTCTTTCACATATAGGACGTAAACACAAGGGTATGGTGATCCACCGGATACAGTTTTAACAGGGCTACCTATCAACCAAGGTGCTTCGCAATCCCTGACAGAGAGGCATATGGCCTGTTGCCTGGGAATTTCAGTCTGAACCCATTGGCATTTATTTATTCTAGCCTTAGAGCCTTATAAAAACTATGTTAATAGTAGCCCTTTCAACTTGATTCATTAACATATTCTTTTTTACTATGAAACATCCCATCTCTTTGAAGGGAAAAAAATACCTTTGGTTGATTAAATTACTGTTTCAAACTAAGAAGTGCAATCAATATACCATACAACTAGTGTAACACAGAAAGTTATGGAAGGCTTTGAGAAACACTATAAATGAATTTCCCTAAAATTCACACATAAACAGTGAATATTTTCCTCAATGTAACATGAAGATCCTCAAAAGCTTGGCGTCTAAATGAAATGTTCTGGAACAACTTCCTCTACTCATAACTGAAGATGTGTAGAATAAATCACTATGTTTTTAATGAATATGAAGCCAAAAAATTAAGTTCACCTTCTGGGAAAATTCTTGTTGTCATGCTACTTTTTAAAGATTTTATTTACTTATTTTTAGACAGAGGGAAATGAGAGAGAAAGCCAGGGAGAGACACATCAATCAGTTACCTCTTTCATACCCACAGCTGGAATCTGGCCTGTAACCCAGCCATGTGCCCTGACCAGGAATCAAACAGGTGGCCTTTTTTTGGTTGCAGGATGATGCCCAACCCACTGAGCCACACCATTCAGGGCTTGTTGCTATTGTCCATAAATGGACAAAGACTTTTGTATGCAGAAGAAATATCAGCACTCCAATAGCAGAATGAACTTTCCACAATTGTTTTTTTGATGAAAAGCAGTGTATAGAACAGCTCTGATAATATAATAAAATATTCTGACTTTACTGAGAAACAGTAAAAATCCAGGGCGAGCACACAGTAATGGGGTCAGCCCAAACTTTTACTGAGCACACGTCCAGGTTGCCAGGTATTAATAAATTCTAGACTGTTCACATGAAGCCCAATGGACCACAGAAATTTTATACACTTAATTTTAGAGATTCAGGACTCTCATAAAATAAGCTGACAGAATTCTACTTACCAACTTCAGAGTACCAGCCACTTGAAATCCATAGAATTATAAAATCAAGAACTTTCTTAGCTAAATTCAGAGCACGAGTAAAAACACTATATTGACTCTGTCACTGTGTTTGGAGATCCAATATAAAGCTCAGTGTTAAGACAGAGAAACAGTTTTTTTTTAGTTGCTCTGAAAGCTAGATTTTCATTCAACCCATTATCACATTTCCATTGTCTGCCATCTTTGCAGACTGTCATGTACACACCTGACACAGTATGGACATGCTTTTTGGGGGAGCATTTTGAGGCTCAAAATGCATGCATGTGAACAATGTTGAACATGGCAAGATTAACAGGCTATTTTTATTCTTACGGATAACCCTAAACACTGAGTTTGGCCTATGGTTCCCACTCTACATAAGGAAATTAAGAGTACTTAGTCTATTTCTGGTAATGGCATGCTTGTGCTATAACTAAACATCTTCTGTTACTTCTTCTTTAAATTCCAACTGGATAATTAAAAACACTTTATAAAATTGCTATGTATTTGTGTGTATATGGGCACTCTTACCTATGACTTTTGTTTCAGAATTGAAGAAGGAGCATTAAAATGCTTAATATGTAAGAGATAGAAATTGGCCTGATTGAGATAAAAGCCACTTGTGTAATGCACTTCATGAGGCTGTTTCCAAATCTTTCCCCACACTGATGGACTGAGGCCAATTCATTTATTATATCCGGATGGAATCAGGTAATGTGAATTGAGTGGCTATGTTTCATTCCTCAGAAGACACTGTTAGCATGATCCAATTTGTCATTCATGGTGAAATTTGGTTTTTAAAAGTTAAAATATGAATACATTGTTTTACGGAGTGTTGCATATGCATTAAATTATATAGATGCACATCAGTATCAACCCTGGTCTATCCAGTGGCCATGGGGGGCAATTATATCAGTGTAAATGGATTCGAAGAGCCAGTGGGTACTCTGGTGAATTTGAAAGAATGTGTCCAATAGCCAAATGGCAAGTACTATCTAGCCTGAACAGATGGTTGCCATGTAAAAACAGGGGTTAAGAGTAACCAAGTGCACATATTTTTAAAAAAGAATTTAGAAATCTTGACCTTTAAAAAAATACTGCATGGGCCAAATATAACATATCTAAAACAGAAAGTATGTACATATTATTTGAGTATCTGGCATAGATCCATATTAAAAGTTACATTTTAAAGTGAAGAAATGATTTATGGAACAAGACCTATAGTAATTTAGTTGAATAGAGAGAGACACTCTGTTCTATTTCTCTTGCTATTTCTAGTTGGACACATTTATTCAAAATGTGTTCAATTATGTTGCTTCTGGAAATAATATGATATATGTTTAGAGTAAGATTTTGAACTGAAATATGTGAGTGATATTCTTTATCTGTAGCCCATAGCACCAATATTTAGAGATTAAGTAGTAATATAGACAAATAGATAAAATATAAAGTAAACTATTGACATTTTTATTGCAATTGAAAGACTACAAACTGGGTTGTTTTCCTAGCTAAAACCAGCAGGTGGTTCTGTACTGACTGAGTCCAGAAAATGTTACAATTTTTACTGCTAAAATGAAATTCATTTTATAGATCCCTTATGATGGTACTAACTTTCCAACCTTAGAAAACAGAGAAAAATACATGTGATGTCAAAAAGAAGTTCTGAAAGCTCAGGACAATTTCAGCTGCCTGATTTGCTTTTTGTGAGATCCATTTTTTTAAGGAATATTAACCTATGATGTTTGAAACTGATTATTTAGAAATTTGAATGGAATTTGCCACTTCACCCATTGCTATCGTTTCCCTAATCATATCTAAAAATGTATCAAGCTTGCTGGAATCTACGGATTAAATGAGAATGCTCTACAAATGCTTGTTAGCTTGTACATAAATGCATGTTTTTAAATCTGAGTAGTCACTAATGTCATAATCTGGGTGTATCCCACACTTGGGTTTAGCCCCCCTGCTGGTAAAACATGACATTTGATTTGCTGGAGAAGAGCATTAATGTGGGGCAGAACTCCACAGAAAAGAATCAAGCAGACAAAGCTAAAGACATGGTTAAGCTTTGTCTATACTTCATAAAATCATTTTCTGCAAAAACTTGATACTGACCCATGAATACCAGTGACAAGAAAGATCAAATTCCCATTGATTTTGGTGCAGTTTATGAATCTGTCGATGTTACTGGAATCCACGGTCTGAGCTGACACCAGTGATCCCGTGCCAATGCCGTCGCATGCTGGAGAAACGAGAGTCACAGTCAGGATCCTGAGAAACTTTTTTCCCCAGTCAATAAATCATTGCATTTTCATTATAAAATAACATTTTTTTTCATTATAAAACTAAAATATTATCACAGGAAATAAATGGCTTTCTAGCATATATAATAATTCTTTCATGCAACATTTGCTACTTGGCCGGCAGTGTCCCTATATTATTGTCTAGTGACCATGACTCACAAGAATTGTATTTTGTATCAAGACCCAGTATATACACATAGCAGATGGATAAATAAAATGGTACTTTGAATAAATCAAAACTTCTACTTACTACATAAAGTCTACTTCATTTCTAATTCATCCTAAAATATTGTGTGTTTTTTTAAGATTTTATTTATTTATTTTTAGAGAGGGAAGGGAGGGAAAGAGAGAGAGAGAGAAACATCAATGTGTGGTTGCTGGGGGTTATGGCCTGCAACCCAGGCATGCACCCTGGCTGGGAATCGAACCTGCGACACTTTGGTTTGCAGCCCACGCTCAATCCACTGAGCTACGCCAGCCAGGCTAAAATATTGTTTTTAATACTTTTTTAAATGCTGGTAACTTAAGATAATTTCATAGCTTAATAATGGTCTACAACCTCCAGTTTTAAAAATATTTGTCTAATCAACAAAACAAACAAACAAGCAAAATATAGCCAAAGACACTGAAATAGAGAACAGGCTGATAGAGGCCAGAGGGGAGAGGGGAGGGAATTTCAGGGGAGAATGGGAAGGGTTTACAGGAACAAATATAAAGGACACATGGACAAAAACTAGGGTAGGGTGGAAATGGGAGGGAGGTATGAAGGGAGGGGTGGGTGGGTGGGCTGGGATGGGAGTAAAGGACAGAAAACTATATTTGAACAATGATTAAAATAAAATTGGGAAGACAATCTAAAGAATAAAGAATATATAGTAAAAGAGTGGTACTGATGTGTGCTGAGTTATAATCAGAGTAAAGAGCCATCCAAATGTTTATACATTAAGTATTACCGGTGCTTTCTTTAGGCCTCACTTTAAAAAAGAAGAAGAAAACAAAACAAAACAAAATGTGTGTGTATATGAAGAGGGGGGGGAGAGAGAGTGTAGTCTAAAGGTAATTCCAAAATTTGTGCTTTTAAAACAGAATCCCATTACTTTGAAAAGCTTAATAATATTTAAAAAGTTTTTTGAACTGGACTTTAATTTGAGAACCATAGCTGGAATTTATTTCTTCCTCCACTCAAATTCTAGAACATCAATTATCTGCAACATTTATTTAACACTTGTGGTAAATGTCCTTGCCATTTCCTATATCTTACTTTTGAAATACTTTTTAGACCTGGAGAGTAAATGTCATGTTGCATTTCCCTTGTACCCCTTTTGATGCATAGGAGATGATGGTGGATACATTGGCAAGCAACTAATATGTGTTTTGGATGCTAAAATAACTGTGTGAACCCTTGTTTTGCTCATAATTTCTAAGACTTGTTGCATATAAAATAAAATTAAACTTAATTTCTGAGTTCCTATCAAAGTTAATTCAAGTTTTACCTGGATTATAGTAGCATCCATCACTCAAAACCAGTAATAGACATTGTTACAGTAGTGGATAATGCTGAGAACTATTCAAAGTTATGGAGAAGTTTCTGTGGGAGGGTTTGCTGGGGGAGTGGTATGTTCTGAGAGGCGAACATTGTCTCCCCACTAAAGAGTAAATGCATATAAAAGTATAAAAGTAAACTTGTTATAGGCCCCTGTCCCAGCCAGAATAATCTCAGCTATCACTTACCTTTTGGGCAAATATCAGTGCAAGGCTTACACATTTTAATGCCATTCTCTTCTACTTCCATCTTGGAACTAGGGCAGGCACGCACACAAGAACTGGAATCGACCACAAAGTTATCTGATAAAAAAGGTAAAATTAGCAATAATGGTGATGCACAGCAAACAAACTTAAACAAAATATTTTACGGTGTGAAAATGATTACCATCGTTGATGGTCTATGTGTCTCTTTCCCTAAAATAAGCCTCTGTCGGAACATCTCAACCTAGCACAGCCTCAAGGAACATCCAAATTTTAGGATGGTGTGTTTGACAACAACGAGCGCTTTCTTGACTACAGCTCAGGGTCCCGAATGGCCCCCGAGACAGAGTAAATTTCTTTCATAGACTTAGGAAACTACATGACATTTAGTTTATGTTTTTCAATAGTTCCACTTCATTTCACATCATGATGCAAGTCAGAAGTCTAAAATACTTCAAGTTACACGAAGCACAAATGAAGCTGAAGTTAAACTGCCTTCAATCAAGAGACTGCACTTCATGTTCAGGAGGAAATGTTTACAATGTGTTCCATCTTCCAGTGGAGAGCCATACACACTGTCCTACAGCTTTATATGGTAAAATAAAATAAAATTTGATAGGGCACTGTTAAGAAAGCTGTACAAAATAAACCAGGAACATCTAATTACCTGACACATTGCTAAAGTGTTTAGGAGTCCAGTGATCAGGAATATGCCAAGATGTTCTCTCCCAAGAAAGGGTCAATTTATTGCATGTAGAGTCTCCCACAATAAAGGGAACACAGGAGACCTACTCTGACAGTTTGGGTTTTAAAGGCAGCGTCCTTCCGTGTCTGAGACTGCTGCTTCTGGCTCAGCATTCTGTAGTGTGGAAGGTGTCTGGCCGTGAAGGGGAACCAGAACAAGAAAGGCATATGGTGCAGGTCTAGACTGGGGTGCAAGCAATACTACTACTCGAGTCACAAAATCCAAAAGGCACTATGACATTAGAAGGATATATGGTGGGAAAGCACACCATGTATAGTTACAGCAAATTCCAACTGGAAAATCACATCAGAGACCCCTAGGATTCTTGAGCTAAACCACACTATCTGCAATACAAATTATACACCATTTAACAAACAGCTCCTGACATGCTCCTGGGTCATGGTGGAAACAGAGCACCTAACCATGGGTCATTGATTGACCTTGTCACCAGACTTGCCCATACAAAACAAAATTTTATTAGAATCATGATATCATAATGTTGGACAGTCCCATAATAAATCCATTGCAAGATGGAAACAGTAGATTTGGGATAGAATATGAGCCCTGGCAGAGACACAAGAAAGCTACATAAGTAGTTGGTCCAGACCTCCACATCATCTACCATTGTGCTGGCGCCTCCCACTCAGCTCATACCTGTGACTGCGTAAGGACCAAGAGAGGGCACGTATGACAAGCTGGCAGAGGAGAGCAAACACTAAGCTTGGTGTATGAATGCAAGTAGCTGAAAATAGATGGCAGCTGCTGTGTGGCCTCTCCAAGGAGTGAGCTTGAAATGTAGTGACAGGAAAAATCCTACTAATGGGCACAGTTTGGGGGAGTGCAAATGATCATTTACTTTGTGTGGAAGTGACTTAAGCTTAGAATTTCTATGAACTCATGAGCAGTGTTTGTCCTTCAAAAAGAAATGGTAGAAAATCTGGAATTGAAGGGAGTCTGGGGTACAGGGACATATATGAATCCATGAGAGTGGGAAGGATGTGTGAAGATAAAGATGCTTGTATTCGGAGTTAACACCTATCCTATCAGAGGGCATCGGCCATGAAACAAGGTGCTTAGTTGACACTGTGTCACAGCCTGATGACACTTGCCTTCCTTTCCTCTTGGGTCTTGACTCTGAGAACGCTCCTTGACAATCTAATCTATGTTTCAGGGGAACCCAACCACTGGCAGGTGCATGCACTGTGTAACAGGTGCCCATCCTTTCTGCATGGTCTTTAGGAATACCCCTTATTCCACACTCCTGCAGCGACTTATGCCAAACAAAATAAATAAAGATTATTAATAGCTTCCTGTGAGTTAGCTTCAGTATCTGCAGCCAAATGTGTTTCAAAAATATTTGTTATTTGGAGTTTTTGAATTTCCGAATTCCAGATTAGGGATTACAGAACAGTATTTAGAAGCTAAACATCTTTGTTTTTCTAGTTTAGCTACCATGCCTTATGAGTAAAATCTATCAAAGATTTGAATTTTAAATAAATACTAAAGTGTTCTAAATTAGTCTGTGATTTGATAAACCTGAACTAATCCAAGAAAGGAAGTTCATGAGTTACCATATCTAAGGTAACTGGGCATGTAATTTCACAAACTAGTTCTCAATGTTTAGCCACTTGCACAATTTATCATTTAAGATGCTTCAGATGAGCCAGTATAAAGGGTAGAGTAAAGGAAAGGTGAATACTCGAGTCCAAATTTTTTTGGTACTTCTTCCACCCCAGCCTAAACTCTGGGCCTCAACCTCAGGACTTGAATAAAAAGAAAACAAAACCAAAAACAAAAAAAAAGCCCCAAAACAAACAAACAAAAAAAGAACAAAGCATAGTTTTGACCATCCTTGGGGCCAGGCACCATAATTTAAAGGTAGTAAAATAAGAAAACATTTGTCTAAGAAAAGGAAAAATTTCATCATCTAGCCCCACTTTACAATACTTTCAAACCCCCTATTTTGTAAGGATACTAGGTGGTGAGATAAAGGGTAAGTTTAGATAAGACGTTATTAGATCAAGAACATGTTTGAATATTAAAGCGTTTAAAATGGAAAAATCTCTACTGTCCTAGAGTGAGTGTATATATATTATACACTATATATAATGATTCTTTTAACTCATATAAAATATTGAATAATGATGACTAGAATTGTCATTGTATCCAAAAACTTGTTTTTATTTACTATCTCTTGGATCCTTATTTCCTATCCCTTTGATCTTTATAATGACTCTGGGAAAGAGAAGAAAGATAAGATTATTACCATCAGCATCTTAAAAGAGGAGGAAATGAAAAGCTAAATAGTTCACTTACAATAGCATGGCCGGCAGTGGACAAAGTCAGAACCCATAGCTACTCTAATCCCATGTCCTACACACTCCCTTGCCATCACAAAGACAAAGCCAAGAATGCCATACTCTCTGTGTTGTGTAGATTATAAAGCCTTCTTCTTTGAAATGAGTATGTGAACAAGTGTAGTGATATTTCAGCCTTGCCAGTAGATCAAACACTGCAGAAGTATCCCATTGGTCAGTCTAAGCAAAGAAACTGACTCAAGGGAGAGTCAGGGCATGTTTTAGTGAATTCTTGACAAAATTTAAGCTGGTCACTCTAAACCCCCAGAATGAGTTATGAGCTTGGTAAAGAACTCTTCATATGCCCTTCCTATGTACTGTTATTGTTTACTACTAGAGTTGATTTTAAAACTATAATGCTATATACTCTTTACAAATAAGTAATCAGAAATAATTTTTGGTAAGAATTCATTGGTATTAGAAGCATATTTCATTATGTAGCTCGCTCCATAAAACTAATCACTTTTCTGAGAAACAGCATCTTGTGCAAAATCAATGCTATACGGAGAAAAAAATGAGTTTGGAAGTTAATGAGACTGCACGCTAACCTCAGACATACCATTCCTTTGCTGAGACTTTGGACCAATCACTTTAATTTTTTTAATATATTTATTTATTTTTTAATTACTTTATTGTTATTCAATTACAGTTGTCTGCATTTTCTTCCCCCCACTCCCCACCCCACTCCAGCCCAACCCACCTCCCTCCCTTGCTTCCATCCTCCCCGCTGGTTTTGTCCATGTGTCCATGTGTCCATGTGTTCCTGAAAACCCTTATAGTCCCCATACTTGAGTAATTCATGATATTATTACAAGTTTCGAGTTACAGTAAATTGGCCTAAAATTCTTTTGTTTTTACATAATGGCATAATTAATTTGGCTCTTCTTTTCCTGTTACTTACGTGGGCATTTCTTCACACAAAATGCTCCGTATGTGTACTTTGCATTGAAGTTATGTTCCAACTGGAAGGTGGTTGGATTGTAGACAAAAGTTTGGGGACACTGAGTGACACAAGCTCCACTGTCATTGAAATTCATGCAGGCCTGCAACATAGCAAACGTTAATTTTATCTCACAATAATCTTAATAATACTTGTTAAAGGAACAGTACTGCAGCAGTTTCTATGGGAGTTTGTGTTCTTTACTAAGTATATGTCAATTGCATAAAAACTGAAACATCTGATAATTTTATAGTCATCAGCACTTAATTTTAAATTCAGATTAGCTTAGGACTTCTACAGTTTTACAAAACTGTTTTTACAATGTCAGTAAATATACCACCTCTAGTTATTGTTGTTCAAATTGCTTAGTATCTGTCCACTAACTTCTAAATTGAAAATGGGCTTAAATTATTAAAGTTATCTAGCAGTAAAACATTATTTAAGCTCACACTTATTCAAAGGGTTATATGTTGAGTCTTAGAGTCTAGAGCTAATAACTAATAACTAAATTATCAATTCTAAACGGTAGACTTTCCTCATGAAAGCTGGTGTTTGGAGAATTCATTGCCTTCAGTGACATTCGTTTTCACTGTATAGTGAGAAAACACATGATGGCCATTTAAACTGGACTCAGAGAAAAGGCTCCGGCAGTTGACTAGTCAAAGAATCAATGTAGGCTATGCAATGCCAAAATGAGGAGAAGCTCCACGTAGCCCATCACTGCATACTATGATGCCTTTTCTGCATAATCTCTTTCATAATGTCACACAACTTGGTAAAAGCCATCGATTCAAGTAAAACAATTTCTACCCACTGACATATATTTGACATTAAAACTTCAATATGTTAAACTGTTCAAATGCCTTTGAGAAGAATTAAAAATAATTTTACTACCCAAGAGTGAGGTATGTAGTGTAAAACTAGAGCAAGTATATAAGTACATAAAAACTTGTGGTTAACAAAGAGCGGATGAACTAATCTTATTAATTAAAAACATGAAACTTTCACAGAAATAATTTAGGCCTTGGAAGGCAAGCTAACATGAACTCATGTAGTATTTTATAGCCATCATAAATTTTATATATGGTTATTAATAAGCACTAATTCATTCTGTTTCTCCAAAACATTTTCTTCATCAATTGTTGTTTTAGCAAGCACTATATCACAAACAAGACAATCCCCAGATGATGGTCTATGAGATGCATAATCAGAACAAGAATCACTGATGATACATTATTCACTAAGATGACACTTTCCAGGAAGAATCTATTAAAAACCAATCTAGAAAACTCAGTGAGTTTTAATTTATGGCTATAAAACTTCATGTGTCCTCATAATTGTTTACTAACACACTTTGTGCTGTGCTGTGCACAGATTGCTTGGCAACAAAGGAACATGAGCCAGAGGAATCAAACAAATTTACCTCCCAGACAAACAGAACACCGTAACTTATGCCAAGGCCTTGACCTGGCATTCTTGAACATGCTGTACCAAATAGCAAAGTGGAATCATGGGAACAGTCCATAAAACAGTGAAATGAAAACTCAGAGGTTCTCTTGGCACTCTGCTTATCATGATAATGGAACCATGAAAAACATGTGGTGAAAGTTATGAGTGTTGTTGGTATTGATTGGTGTTACTGTTTTGGAATTAACCCAGTGCTTGTTTAACATCTACCAAACCCAGTTTCCCCAACCCATGGCTGGAGACAGGCAAAGGGAAGGGTCTCAGACCCAGACCTGCTGAGCAGCTGCCCTACATTTTTAATGTTTCAATATTCATTTCTTCTTCCTCACTAGTCACTTCTGCAATATATACTTTTGTTTACTGTAGAATTAGGGTAGTGAAGTTAAATTTCTTGTTACATTAAGATAATTCACCAATGATTATATCATAAGAGCTATAATTTATAGTTTGCGTACTTCCAGAATTAAATGCCAGTTTGAAAAAAATACTCTATCCTAAATATATATGTGTATTCTTCAGATAGTTGAGAAGGGGTAACAAAAAATAAATCCCTGTCTTTATTTTTAACAACAAAAACAACTTCTTATTCTATGGTTTTTAACTGAAAATGAAGCTAGTGTGTGTATGAAACTGCATTAACTATAGCTCACAGAATTGCTTGTATGTATTCAAAAGAACAGAAAGAGCTTTATCGGAGATGCAAAATGTAATTAAGTGTCCCCAACAAGAGATAAATTTTAAGGAAGTAAAAATGTCCTCTTCTAAAATAAAAATCACACAGATTAGCATATAAATTGCTTCAAGCATGCATTTGTAAATCTTATAATTTTGAATGATATTAGTTTATAAACAACATAAACTAAAATAATTAAATTTATAAATTTATCTGCTATTGTCTTAAATTCATATTTAAGAAATAAAATGCTAGTGCCCTTATACAGAAGACTCATTGATGCAACAACATAAACAGGTAATCACTATAAATTTCGGGAAGATAATATTAGTTTTTAAAAAGATATCTCAACATGATCATCTTCACATTGTCTAATAAATCTCACTGGTAGTATAAATTACAACAGAAGGGCACAAAGAACAATCCTAGTTAATCAATAGCCACCTAGTGAATGCATGACTTCCAGGAAGGCAGAGACTCTCTTAATCCTAAAATGGTTAAATTAGATCTTTTGAATAAGATGTTAAAGATTCAATGTGCCTGCATAAAAGAGGAGGGCAGGGAAAGCAGGAGAATAAAAGGAAGAAATCCCAGACTCACAAAGCAGTCCGTGTCCTTAGGTCCCGAGCAGCCTCCAGCACACTCTCGATGACAACAGTCACTGACATAGGGCCCATAGCATCTGCCATCACATTGTTCTGCACACACTGTCCTTGTCACTGCAGAAGACAGATATGAAGTTTTGGTCAAAGTCAGCCAGCCAGAGAAACTTCTAAGGTGACCTGGAGATGCTGAGAAAAGCTGGGCTCTAGAATGACGACTGACCCACCATTGACGAATTCGACAAATGTTTACCAAATGAAGTCTGCAACAGATCAAAACTACTCTACAAAAACCTTCCAAATTAACACACAAATGAGTTTGTATATTCTTTCTGGTTCCAATAAATACTGTTGTGCTTTACAAAACTCATACAATCTAGCAAGATAGAATCAAGTATGAAATAACTGAATGAGATGCTTAGACAGGTTGGAAAAGATAAAGTCAGCAGAGAAGCCGATTCACACTGTGCAATTAGGTCCTAGAGCAGGTGTCCTCAGAAACAAATTCAGGATTTTGTAGCAGTCAGTGCAAAGAGGAAAGTATAATCTTTACATGATTCACATTGTATCTTACATGATTCATATCAAATAGAGGGATGGAGGGAGGGTGGGAAAGAGAGAGAGTGAGCACCAGCAACATCCTCACAGGAAGGAAGAAGGGAAAAAAGGAAGTATGGAAGAAAGGAAGAAAAGGAGAAAAGGGAGTAAGGAGCAAGGGAGGAAGGGGACACATTCATATGAAACACAACAAAACCTCCATTGGAACTTTTCTTATAACCTTTTAATACAATCGACTGAATCATATCAAAGTATACTTTTTGTAAAAACAATGCTATAGTCTGGGCTTCAAAATTATGGTATAGAGGGAAACAATTCTGCTTATCTCACTTATTAGAGAGACATCTTTAAGTGTTTAGAGACACAAATCTTACAGGACATGTGTAGCACATCACTTTCTGGTTTCTGTGTTTCCATTTCAGCCTTGTTTCTCCCCACCTCTTTGACTAGTTCTTCAAAGCTTCCTTCACTGAAGTAAAATTCCATACTAGAGCAAGATTGCACTATAAACATTAGTATTCTTCAGAATTGGTCTTGGTCGATCTTGAAAATTTTCTTGGGCTGTGGGTTCATGCCTGAATGCAACCTTCATCCTTCACTTCGCATAATTCCTATAGGCAGATTACTTTGAGATCCAGATCTGAATTCTCCATTGAGCTACAGCATGTATTCCTAGTTGTCTACAAAAGTCCCCATTTAGATAATGCAAGGTGTAGAAAACGGAATGTGACTCACTTTCCCACTTCTACCACCAAGTATATTTCTCTTTTGTTCCTTTATCTCAACTAATGGAAGCACCATGCATCCTGCAGCTAAGTTAAACAGTTGGGATGTGTTTTCTATGCCTCCTTTCCCCTTACGTCACTTCTTATACCTAACAAAAATACCAAGTACGAGCAATAGAATTCTTCAGTGCATTTCTCCTCTCTACTTCCACTTTGTTTAGAAATTTACCTCTAAATTATTGCATACCCTTCTATAAGTTTCCTCAGATTCAGATTATTCCTCCTTGCTGCTCCAAAAGCAATGGCTTGAAATATGTCACTGTCTATACAAATCAGTGTTGTTTCACAGAGTAAAATTTACTTGCCACCCCTATACTAAAGAATAATTCGTTAGCAACAGATAGAAGTCCTTCATCGATTGGCTACTGGTATCTAGCCATACTGGCATCTCTCACCCTCTTGCTGTGCTTCTCACATCCAGCCAAACACACATACCACCGTGATTCTTGTTTCCACCACATGCAACCATGGATCTCATTGTCTTTTCACAACACATTCCTTCATGCTAAAATCCCTTCCTGTGTTTTTGTCTAGCAAATACTCAACAATAAACCTCAAATGAAGTGCTCCTTTTGCTCTGAAACCTTTCTAGACTCATCTCCAGGCTGAGTTACTTTGTCATTCTTGTTTCTGAACAAGCAAGAAGATAAAGGGATAGAGCAATCAATAAGGTATGAAAGCCCTGGTTTATATTCAAACTCTGCCCTTGTGATATAGCCAATTCTTTAACCACTATGGATTTTACTTTAAATTTTTACCATGGAGTTAGTATTAGTGCCTATCTAGAGGGATGGCAGATAGAGATGCAAAGTGCTTAACAAGTCCCTTGTTAATGGTGCTCAGCACTGTTATATTATTACTGCACTAATCATAGCGCATTGTATTCATTTGTTCATGTTCGTTTCCTTGAATAAACTATTAGTGTAATTTATTGAACTGTATCATCTTATCTGCATTGTATCTTTGGTGACTAATACAGTGTCTGGCACTTAATACACAATAAATAAGTATCCTGTCCAAATAAGTAAGTCATGTGTAACCAACTCAAAGTAAATATCTGTCACTTAATGTTTAACGCCCTTATCAGAGGAGAAGACAACACGTAGAGAGTTAAAGATGTAGGGCACTAACCAATATAGATAAGCAAATACAAAATATCAAGCAATGGAGCACATCAACATGCAAATAGCATAATTCTTATTAATATCTATCATTAGATTTAAGTGCCCCTTATGCCAATGATTATTTCATAATTCCATATTTTCACTTGGATGCCTTCTAATAGAACATGATGATGATATTAATACAAATCCATAATGTTTAAATATGAACTATATCCTCCCACTGGATGTGATTATATTATTCCCTATGTATACTCTCAATAAAAACATCAGGTAGAATTTAAACTAAAAATGTACTTGGATTCATCCTGTCTTATTTTTAATTTTGTAAAAAATAAAGTCATATGATACTTCTTTGGGAAAGCTTACAGAAGATTTAAAAAAAACAAAATTTTATGCATGATCTTGTAAGAGGAGCACATTTTGTATTTGCAACTTGGATAACACCAAATTTTGAAATAAATAATTTCTTTTGTAAATATTCCAGAATAAAATTATGCAAAATAAGCCAACTGTGTCTGCCCCTTTAGCTTTTCTAAGTCATTGTTAAAATCGCACCTTGTCAATGAAATCTACCCCTATTTAATACTGAATCTTTCCAAATCACTGATTCCTGATGGACCCTTGGACCCTCTCCTTCATTCTCACACTCTCTCTTTTTCTTCCTGCTATTCTCCCTCCTTCTGTCCGTCTTCCCTCCCTCTCTCCTTCCCTGTATCTTTGCTGTAGCATTGATCACCATCTAACACACTTAAATCAATTATTACACTTTTTTTTTTGCTGGTGTATTCCAATATCTACCTGGCATCCATGTAGCTTTTATTTATATTTCATACACATTATACAAATACATTACTTATAGACTGTGTATGAAATATACCCAGATATATGATATCAATTTATTAACTCTGCATATTCATATACTGTACTTATATTCATGTTCCTAAATGTTACCCAAGTGGTATATTTATTTAGGTGTCCTAATTAGTAAATAATACCATATAAAGAAAACATTTGCAGTAAATACTCTTGTAAATAATAGATTTAAATATAATTGCTTTTTCAGATTTAAGGCTTTTTTTTAATGTACCAAGAGCTACTAATTAAAATAGCACATATATATTAAGTAAACTAATTACTATATTTGAAACGTGTTATCACATGACAGTCTATTAATTTACTTTTAGTGGACAGGAATTGCTCAGCTGGAAAATAGCAGGAAGTGAGTTAGCAATCATATTCCACAGGTCCCACCATATTTTAATATAAGTACACTGAAGTATTAATTTATATTCTTAACTCTGTGGTGATTAAAGATAATTTTATAAAATGTTTTAATTATTTATATACTTTGGTCTTTCCCACAAAATGAGAAAATTAGACTAGATAATATTTATAAAGATAATTAACCATAAAATTATTTTAAAATTATTTATGAAATGTTCATATTAAGATCATTTCTTTCATGGAGTACACTATTAAATATGAAAATAATAAGCGATGAATATAATCTAACAGTGCAATCTTGTGTTCTATAATAATCATTATACTGTGAAACTTTTAAATATGTATTTCAAATAATGCAATCATACGTGTTGAGTTGACTTTAAATTTTTCAGAAAGCTACTTCTTTTATACAGTGGCCATGTATCTCATATTTTTCAGGACACTTGGATCTTAGATATACCATTCCATTTGAAGAACATGCAAATAAATATACCCCTAAGTCATTAGTTTAAATTATTTTTTATTTAAGCTATTAAAAGACAATTACAGGATTTGCTTCAAAAACAGTCTAAAATTGATTTTAAAAGCAAAAAGATACATTCATCAGTAAACATAGCACATTTTATCAGCCTGGTTTTCACATACTTAAATCCAATTGAAAGTTCAGTAAGCATGAAACATATTTTGGAAATGTTTGCTTGATAGATAATACTGTAAGTGAGCAAAAAGGAAAAAAAATATGCTTAATCTCTAAACTGAAGTGATATAATTAAGAAACATTTCTTCACATTGTTAGGTAAGATTTGTTTTTAGAAAGAAAACATTCCCTCTGTACAATCTATTTAATACTATTTGTTGAGTTAATAAACATTACTTTCTATGAATTAAACACATCAGACTATACTCATATTTTATTATGATGGAGACACACACACAAAACAGTTACTGAAATCAATGAGATAACTCACCCTCCATGGGAACATTAACTTATAATTGCTTTGGTTATATTAATTTCCACCCTTGCTTGAATATTATTTCATTAGCATTTCCCCTGTATTTAGTACCATTCCTAAATTGCTTCATTGGGCGCATTAAAATATTTGGGTCAAATATTAACTAGCTTGTTCATTGGTTGTCCATCACTAACTGTGACTATTTAATACAAAAAGTAAAACCTGGGAAGTTAAATATTTATTTTATTAGGATGAGTAAACTTGAAATTGGGAAGGGGATTCATTCAAAATATCCATGAGAATCAATGTGTAAAGTTTAAGAACAAAATATTCCATATTAAGGGGATACTGCTGGGAGAATATCTATTATCTCAAAAAAAAATAAAGTATGTGTAAGTAGCTTTATTATATCAGTATCTCACTAATAAAAACAATGGCTTAATTACTTCTGTAAATATAACAATAACCACACT